AGTGTTGCAGCCATTTGGAGAGTGAACCAGTAAACAGCAGATCTTTCTCTCTGTGTCTTCCCTTCTCTCTGAATATCTTCCCAATTAAAACAAATCTGTTTTAAATATTTTGTCTTTCAACATTCAAATATCTGAGTATAGGTTTTTAACAGTTCATATTCTTCCTGTATGTGTAACTATCAGGATCACAATTGAGTTTAAAAAAAAAAAAAGTTTTTTAGTTTTTTCCCAGTTACCTTGAGGTCTACTATTATGCCTTCTAGATTACATTCCTCCACAACCTAGGTACAGCCAAATGGGCACCTGCCTTGGTCATACATTACAAATCACATGGCTAGTTTATAAATAAATACCAAGCCCAATCCCAGAGACCCTTAATCACTAGCTTCGGGCTGGAGCACAGGCATCTGTAGATTTCTAAAATCCCAGAGCTCACTGTAATGGGTAATCAGTTGAAAAACACTACCAACAAGTACTGTAATGAACAAGAAGCCAAAGGGCAAGGCAGCTAAAGACAGTCTTCACAGTAGACACAGATGAGGCACTGAATTCAGGTACCACAAAGTTTGCATGGCACCACATGACACAGGCAATTATTTCACTCCATAAGCCTCACTTTACTTATTTATAAAACATGTATCATGGTGGTACTGACTCTCAAGTGCTGGCCTGAAGGTTGGTATTTCTTACAAGTCTCATTAAACACAGGCAAATAAATTCAGCATAATTAATACTGGGATGTAATAACTTAAAAGTCAGATAAACTCTCAACAGAAAAACACCAAAATCTGAAGATGAAATAGTACCTTTACTGGGCCCAGTGCAATGGCTCAATTGGCTAATCCTCTCCCCTATAAGCGCTAGGATCCCATATGCTCAACAGTTCACTTCCCAGCTATTCTACTTCCCATCCAGTTTCCTGCTCGTGGCTCGGTAAAGCAGCGGAGGATGGTCCAAGGCCTTGGGACCTACATCAACGTGGGAGACCTGGAAGACACACCTGGCTTCGGATCAGCCCAGCTCTAGCTGCTGTGGCCAACTGGGGAGTAAGCCAGCAGATGAAAGATTTTTCTGTCTCTCCTCTGTATAAATTCACCTTTCCAACAAAAATAAATATTTTTAAAGAAGAAAAGAAACACTACATAATATCCTAACAAAAATAAGACTTCAGGGCCAATATAGTGGCACAGTAGCTTAAGCCTTCACCTGTATAGCCAGCATCACATATGGACACAACTGTTCCACTTCCCATTCAGCTCCCTGTTAATGTGCCTGGGAGAGGAGTGGAAGAAGGCCGAGGACCTTGAACTGCTGCATCCACGTGGCAGACTGAAAGGAAGCTCCTTGGAGAGTGAACCAGTGAACAGAAGATCTCATATCTCTCCTCTCTGTATAAATCTGCCTTTCAAATTAAAAAACTCAATTTCTTCTCAGGTAAATTGAGATTTTTAAAAAATGTGTTTGAAAATGAAAGCAGTAATTTTCACATTTTATGTAAAGCTCTCCAATATGTATCAATTTCCTTTCTTACCCATTTCTAATCATTGTAGCTCATGCTCTTTCATTGTATAAAATTGTACTGGAGATCTGTTTAGAAAGTTTGTTTTATGCTTAACCTTTAAAAATAAGAAAGTCTAAAGCATTTATCTTCTGCATCTAAGGATTTTGCTGTGACAAGATTAAGTCTTCAAAGCCATTTGACTGTCAAGGCTTAGAAGACTGTTTTTTTTAAATTCCTGCTGGGAGGCATGGTTCTTAGGCTGTGGGTGAAAGTATGATTTCTGGTGGGGATTATGTGCCATAACGTCTGGTGGAACTGGAGACCACTGACTGAAACTGGCCTTGCAAGAAATCAATTATTCCTATACATTCAGCTCCCAGGACAAAATGTAATGGCAAAGCTCTACGCTGGGAAAGATGCCGTCTGATACAGGCAAGGAGGAACTGAGATGATCTCTACATTTTCACCTATTTTACCCAAGCCTCTACTTTTTGGACTGCAAAAAATGCAGCTTCTGTGAAACTGCTGCCCAGAACTGGCCCCATCCAAAAATAACAAAAACATAGCTGCCAGATGCACCCCTTGATGATCTATAGTCAGCTGTAATTTCATATAACAAAATCACCACAGTGACACCCTGTTCCCACATGCAGCCAATGCCATCACACTGTTTTTTTTAAAGAGAAAAAATATATATTTATTTGCAAATCAGAGTTACAGAGAAAGATAGAGAAAATTTCCATTCACTGGTTCACTCTCCAGATACCTGCAACATTAAGGGCTGGGTCAGATCAAAACATTTCAACCATCCTCAACTGCTTTTTCCAGACTAATAGCAGGAAGCTGGACCCAAGTGGAGCAGCCAGGACACAAAATGTTACCCTTACGGCTTCATCCACTATGGGACAATGCTAGCTCCAGCCGCAGCACTTCTGGAGTTTCAGAAATGGGCAAGAAAATGAAGCTACTCAAGATCCACCCCAAACACTGCCCCCATGAACATTCAACGAAACACCAGTCTAGACACCACCCTACTACGTCCCAGACCACAGAGAAGAACTTCACATAGCTGGGAACTTCATAGCACAGAACTCTGAGCAGAAGAACTGCATCCCATAACTTTACAGCTGGCTAACTCTTCACAGGTGAAATGATCAAACATAACAAAAACATTCACTAGTTCAACATGTTTTAAGTTTATTATTAACCTTTAAGTTATCAATGCATTTCTAGCTATAAAAAAAATTTAGTTTAAAAGTGTGTTCAGAGATAGCTGTTGGGTAGTCATAAAGACACCACATGGGGAGTAGGCTTTGGATACACCAATTAATCCACTGCTTCAAGTCTCTAAATTCCTGTGGTCAAGTTCTGCCTCTGCTCCCTGCTAAAGTGCACTCAGGTGGCAGAGGTGATGGAATAAGTATCTGGATTTCCACCATCCATGTGGAAAGCCAGGTTATGTCCCAGGCTCCGGGCCTTGCCCAGCCTAACCCCAGCCAAGGTCAGCACTCAGCAAGGAACCAATGGATGGGAGTCCAGTTTCTCTGTTTTTTCAAAAAGGCAACACTTTCCTGTCTGAAAATTCCATTTTTTAAATTAAAACATGGTTTATCATTCATCACAGATAAAAAATAAGAAAAACAATTCTCAAATAACTACTCTTCAAAACTAGTAACCCTTTACCAATAATTTCAGAATATGATAAGCAAAAGGAAAATATATTTTAAAATGTCACTTAACAGAAAAACATTGATAATCACAACTTTCAAAAAAAATCACTTTCATATTATAAAAAAATTTTATGCTATAACAAAATGAGAAACATTGTAAAAGATTACAAAAATATAAAAAAGCTCTGTATAAACATCTTTTAATAAAGAAATAAAAATCTTTCCTACATAATTTCCTTCATAGAAATTCGCCTGAAAAATACACTGCTGAATATATAGGTTACTACATCATAAAATAAAAAATATTTCTGAAAATTAGACAATATTTATAACCTGTGTGTCTGGATGCACTTTTTTGTAACAGTAAAGGAGAAAACAATGCGACCCAAATAAAACAGACACTCTCTTGCAGGGGGTGTGGCTGCCAGGAGAGATCACGGTTGAAGGGAAGATGGAAGGTAAATAAGCAGAATGAAAGCATCAAAATAAGTAAAAAAAAAACAAAAAACAACAAAGCTTGATGCTTCTGAGTGACTATGGACCACCTGAAGCAGGAAATTAGTTAAGAGGAAAGGAAAAAAGATTCCATATCAAAGGCAAATAAATTAACACTATTCTACGAAGGCTTTCAAATAATGAAGACATCATGGGGCAGCAGGGGACACACACTACCAGGCCAAAAGTCTCTTAGAAACACAGCAAATTTACATAAGTCCAGGGGTTACTCTGTGGACTGGTAAGCTCTCCTCTAAACCAACAGACCAGTCAGCTTTAGTAACTTAAAGATCAATCACTGAAGCTTACCCCTGTTAAAGGATAGTTAAATACATAGAGTCAACAAGGCAAAACAATACTACACTTCAGCAGCACAAATAAAGTGTTTTGATACCAAATCTGGTAAGTGGCTTTATTCACCATTACGGTGAGACTATAAGCAACAAAAAGGCAATCCACACACCTAAGAAACAGCTATTCAAATTAATATGTAAGAAAGGCTCCGGAAATAAATCATTACCTCAAGTTATACCTATCATGCATATGAAATTCAAGAATGAGGCAAACTGTTTTAGTCTATGAAGATACAATGGCCATTAAAGAAATAAAAAGTGCTTAACTAATAATTTTTCAGGACACTAGAACTTCAATTATTATTATTTCTTAAAAAAAATCTTAAATACTACAACTAAAATTCAAAGCCTTCCTTGAGCTAAGGTAAAATTTCTAGCAGATTATCTAGTGGCCCTGTGTGAACAGTTCTGGGAATAGAAAACTAATGCTGATTTCTGATCTAAGGTTTTTCATAAACAAAAATAAAAGTATCCAACGAGTCTCACAGTCTTAGTTAACTGACAAGATTACCAGATAAAGAGTCAGGATCAAGACACAAACCAAAGCAGGCCCATTTCCAAGTCAATGCTTTTAACTACTACACCAAATTACCAAAATATTAAAAAATCACTAATATGATTAGTAAAAGATTAAAACGGTTTTAATATACCCATGCAATAAAATATTAAGTGATGTAAAATGATGAAGCATCATATTTACTAACCTGGATGTAAATTTCCAGGCAACATTTGATTAGTTTCAAAAGCCTTATTAATGATCACATGCTATTTGCTATTTTTGTCAAAAACAAATTATAAGCATACATTATGCACACATGTGAAGGCCTAAAAGAAATTCACATAAATACTGGCAGAGATCATGCTATCAACCTTTTACTTTCTCTTTTTAATTGTCCCTCTTAATGAATGAGAAATATTGTCTTATCTTCTTACACAGAATCCTTTCTTAATGGTAAGTCCTAACACCCCCGGGGTGCTCGCCCGGTGTAAAAGGCGGACTCCCCCGGGTGACTGCTCCTTGGCTGCTGCTGCTCTTGCTCTAACTTGCCATCACTGGCAGCACAGGTGCTGAATGAAGCTCCATCTGCAAAAGTGCTTGGCACCAACAGCTGTTCATCTGCCAGTGCTCCACCTGCATGTCGGGAAGGAAGGACTTCTCTGGAATTAGTCTTGCTACTGTTGTTCCTTACTGCCCAGAGCCACAGGACTCTCAAATTCAAATTCATTCATACACCACCCCGACAAACATACTCACTGCCAAACGCTAAAGATTTAAGGGTCAGGGCTGGCCCTGTGGCACAGTGGGTAAAGCCACCATCTGTGCCACCAGCATTCCATATGAGCACCAGCTCAAAACCTGGTTGCTCCATTTCCAATCCAGCTCTGCAATGCATCTGGGAAAGCAGCAGCAGATGGCCCAACTACATACATCCATGTGATAGACCTGGAAGAAGTTCCTTGCTCCTGGCTTCAGACTGGCCCAACTTTGTTGTGGTCAATTGAGGAGTGAACCAGAGGATGGAAGAGATCTCTGTCTCTCCCTGTATATCTGCCCTTCAAATAAATAAATAAATCTTTAAAAAACCTTTTTTTTTGAATATCGATATGTAAAATTAGCCTCAGACCCACCTGCACACTAGGTAACTACTTTAATTGATTCATGGAAACTGGTGCAACACTGTAGACACAACTAAGATGTATAAAGTGGCAGGATACAAAATAATACCAACAAAGGGAAAAGGTGCCTGGGTGAAGTATGAAGGAAATGACGCACATGCATTCAAAAGCTCTTCTGGCATTCACACCAGACACACTCAAGTCCCCTAACAATAAGCTATGACAAAATTAATGAAATGGCTACAGGAAAGTTCAATAGACTTTACGACCAGAACTGGATATAAAGGCACTCACTGTCAAGTATGTACCAAAATTTAAAACTGCTATATAGTAGCATAAAACATGCCCTTTACACGGTCCAGACACAAGGAATGACTTTTACCACTTTAGGTGAAGTTGCTATCATTAGGAAAATTTTCACAAGCCAAGGTCTCCAACACTAGGCAAGAGCAAGAAGGCTTTCCAAGACTAACAGTCTCAGGTCTCCTATCAGAACATCTGTGAAATCCAAATGGTCCCACCTTATTGTGCTTCTAATTCTTTGCTGAAACTCTACTCAGACACATTTTTAGAAAAACGTTCTATTTTCACAGCCGTTCCTATTGTATCAGTGGGGAGGATAACAGAAGCTCTGTGTTGTGTCTGTAAGATCACAGACACGATATACTGTCATAGGGTTAAAGGTGTGGACGTTGGACCCTGGCCCTAAGACTTGCAAATTGTGAGATAGATTTGTTATTTGGACTCTCTGTAACACCATTTTATCTGAAACTGGGGTTGGGAAAGCTTCTCACAGTGTGTCTATAAGGATACTATCCAAAACTACAGAGAAAGGACTTCACAAAATTTCCTCTTCCTCAAATTCCAAGGTCTACTGACTTCTCTCTGAGTTTAACTGGTCTTGTATTAGTCAGCTTTTAATTACAACTAAAAATCTCGACAAGTTACTTAACAAAGGTTCTAAGTCTTAGCTACTCTGCTTCCAATTCAGCTCCCTGGTAATAAGCCTGTATATCAGAAATATGATCCAAGGACTTGGGCCCCTGCCACCCATATGAGAGACCTGGATGAAATTCCAGGCTCCTAGCTTCAGTGTGATCCAGCCCCACATACTTTATCAATTTAGAGAGTGAACCAACAAGCAGATCTCTCTGTATGTCTGTATGTCTGCCTGCCTCAATGTCACCTGCCTTCCAAATAAATAAAATAAAAAATTTAACAGATCACACAAGGAGCAAGGAAAACAGAACATCTTTCATCTATGTGGTCTGCCCTAATAAAGCTACCATATTCTGATCTTGAGGCTCCAACCTAACAACCCAATCCAACTGAGTCCCTTCCCAAAAGCCCCACCCTCAGACAACATAATTGGAATAAGTTCCCACCCTCCATCCATTAACCATTAACCTCAGACTTTAGTGACTAAGCTTTTAATACATGGACTTGCAGGAGACACCCACACTAATACCCAAATCACAGCAATCTTATGCCCACGGTCACAAGACTATCTGTGAGAGCTAAAGTACCAAAGTAGACCAGTCAACTTTTCATCACCACAATGAAATACCTGACAGACACCAACTCTATAAAAGGAAAGCGATTTATTTTGGCCCACAGTTCTGGAAGTGCAAGATCTAGAGGCCTCATCTGACAGCAGTCTTCTTACTGGCGGAGTTCCAAGACTGCACAGAGTCAGGGAGCATGGCTGTCTGTCTTTATCTCCCTGTCCTCTTATAAAGCCTTCAGAACTCATTTATGGGGGTAGGGGGTCTCCACTAATCAGTCTACACATTTCTCAAAAGCCCTACCTCTAAACACCGTAACTGGATGAACAGTCTGTTCCCTTAGTACCAACAATCTAAAACTCTGGAGACCAAACTCCTGAGTTAGAAGTGAGAAGACAACATTCAAATTACAGCATAAAGTTTGCCATTTTTCTTCTTTTTCTTATTATAGATAGATTTGTTTATTTGAAAGGCACAGTTAAAGAGTGGAAAGAAACAGATATTCCATCCACAGATTCTCTCTCCAAATGGCTGCAACTGCCAGCTAAATCCAGACTAAAGCCAAGAGCCAAAATTTCTTCTGGGTCTCAGACACGGGTGCAAGGAAACAAGTACTTGAACCATTCCCTGTTGCTTTCCCAGGCACATTAGCAGGGAGCTGGATCAGAAGTGGAGCTGTTGAGGCTCACACTGGTGCCCATATGAATACAGGTAGAGGGTTAGCTTGCAACATCAAACACCAGCACCAATTTGTCATCACTTACTAATAGGCTTTAAAATTTACTCGGGCCCGGCGCGGTAGCACAGTGGTTAAGGTCCTCGCCTTGCACGCCCAGGATCCCATATGGGCGCCGGTTCTATCCCAGCAGCCCCGCTTCCTTCCAGCTCCCTGCCTGTGGCCCGGAAAAGCAGTCGAGGACAACCCAAAGCTTTGGGACCCTGCACCCGCGTGGGAGACCCGGAAGAGGCTCCTGGCTTCGGATCGGCATAGCATCAGCTGTTGCGCTCACTTGGGGAGCGAATCATCGGATGGAAGATCTTCCTCTCTGTCTCTCCTCTCTGTATATCCGCCTTTCCAATTAAAAAAATAATAATAAAAAATAAATCTTTAAAAATAAATAAATAAAATTTACTCCAATCTCATATCACACACTAGGATAAAGCACAAATAAATCAAAACCTATGTTTGAAAAATAATCAAACAGGTATTAGAGAAAAATGAGTTATTCCAACTCTCAACGACTAAAAGCATAATATAACTCAAATCTAGAGCTGTATGAAAACTACAACATATTCAGTTATCCAAAACTCAAAAGCCACAGCATGGAAGAAAGCTTCATACGAAAATCACATGACACATTGAGAATGTTTGCAATTAATTCAACAGATTATAGCACCGATTTATATAACTCAGAATTTCTAACTCTAATTTACAAAGAACTTCTAGAATTTGAGGTAAAAAATATTGTGAAAACAGAAAAATAAAGGACAGAAAAATAACAATATCCCCCCCCAAATTTAACTGGCCTATAAAGATACAAAAATATGAACTACCTAATTCATAAAAGAAACGTAGTAAAACCGGGATAGCATTCTCACCTACACACCCCACAAAAGCACTACTTGATGGCCCAACCTTTCGTTCAAAATTAAGAGTACAACATAGCCAACTCCAGGAAGTGAGCCTAATGCTATTTACCTGAAACACTCAAGTGTTCACATAGCAACCTCAAGACTGGACTCAATCTCATCACCACAAATTCATAATTATGAAATGACATGTGTACAAGATTACTCATAACAATTACTGTAGCACAATATTGGATATAACATAAAAATACAGGACTTGATAAATAGCTGCCACAACCACAAAATATTTTTCAGCTGGTAAAATTTAAAAATAAAGTGAAGAGGATTTTAAGGTTCCCTAACATATTGCTGAAAAGATCAGAGATAGCATATATAAATACATAATCTTTAATATTACAGGGGAAAGAGGCCAGTACCTCCATAGCATAGTAGGTTAAGCCTCTACCTAAAGCACCAGCATCCCAAATGAGTGTGGTTCATTCAAGTCCTGGCTGCTCCACTTCCGATCCAGCTCCCTGCCAATGTGCCGGGGAAATCAGCAGAAGATGGATCCAAGATCTTGGGCCCCTATACCCACATTGGAGACCTGGAAGAAGCTCCTAGTTCCAGATCACCCAACTCTAGTTATTTGGGGAAGTAAACCAGTAGAGGAAAGATCTCTTTATTCTCTGTCTCTGCTTCTGATTCTTTCTAATAACAACAACAACAAAAAAATCTTTAAAAAATATATGTATTTATCTTTAGTTACATAAAAAAGTGACTAAAATGTGAAACACATGAAATTGGTTACTTTTGGGAGAAAGAGAAGGAAAAATACTGAAAATAAAGAGTTCTCTATCTTGGGGCCAACACCATGAGGTAATAGGTTCAGCCTCTGACTGTGGTGCCAGTATCTCATATATGTGTCCATCTGTGTCCTTGATACTCCACTTCGCATTCAGCTCCTTGCTAATGCACCTAAGAAAGCAGCAGAGGATAGCCCAATTCCTTGGGCCCCTGCTCCCATGTGGAAAACCTGTAAGATGTTCCTGGCTCCTGACTTCAGACAGCCCAGCTCTGGCTGTTGTGGCATCTGGAGAGTGAACCAATGGATAGATCTTTCTCCACCCCTCCTCTCTCTGTAACGCTTTCAAGTAAGTTCTCCATATGCATATAGACAAATTTATTTTAAGTTTGTTCTTTTTATCCTAATAGCTGAACCCAAAACCCTATAATATGTGCTTGCAACACTATTTTTGAAGTTATTCACTTTAAGAATAAACCAATCAATCTCTAATAAACATTTTTAATGTTTATTTATTCTTAATTCCCTAATTTTAATTTTTCTCTAAGTACCTTTGCACTTTAATAATATTGGAGATACTTTAAAAAGCTCAAATGAAATAGGTATTGTGAAAAAACAAACATGGAATTCAAAATTTTTCCATGAACAGTTTGAAGTTCCTTTACCTACTTCCTTATGGTCTATTCTGTCAATTCAATGTTACCCTTGACTCTCCAATCCAAAAGACAAAGCTATTATCATAATAATTGCTCTCATATCGCCCTGCTACCAATAGCTTCCTTTTTTTGTTACAGTAGCTCCTATTTTATTC